ACAGGTTTTTTTAAATTTATTTTTAATTCTTTAATAAATATAGTTACCATATTGAAACATGGTAAAATTCTTACAAAAAATTAACTAACTAAACATAATCAACTAACGATATCTCATAGTTAATTTTCAATCTGAACAAAAACAGAACTTTTTATTTGTTCGATATTTTAAAATTGCTAACACTTTATCATAAAAGTTTTATCCAAATTCAAATAATATTCAAATGAATTTTTCATCTTGAAATTATGCTTTTTTATTTTTTCACAAAGTAACAATTTTTGAAAACAGAATTGTCATTACCTTTAAAAATAAACATCAACGTGTTGTGTTTTTCTTTTTTGATTAATTTTTGTTTGTTCAAAAGTTTAACGTTTAGGAAACATTTATGTTGTGAATCGTAACGAAATAACAAAAAATCAGTTAATACTTTAAAAATATTCTATGACAATAAATAATAGTCTATAAAATTTTTAATGGAATTTCTAATCAGTTATATTGAATTTCATATTTTTAGTTGGAAGTTTAAAAACATAATTTCTTTTTTATTCTTGCATTACACTTACTGGATTTACTTATAAATAAATTTAAACAGTTTGATAAAAGTAAATGCCTTGTCAAATTTTGGATTAAAATGTTATACAGTAAAATGTTATCATTTTTACATTTTGTCTATAATTTCAATTCCTAAATATTTTTTTTCAGATATTTTAATTACGATATTAAGAATGTGCATAAAAAGCAACTACATTGTTGACCTAAATTTATTATCACCCCTTATTTTCCTTGCAAATTTTAAAAATTTCACAACAATTAAAATTTTTTAACCTGAAAGTAAAAAAAATCAAAATTTATACAGTTTTATTATTTTTTAAACACTTTTTATACAAAAAATGAAAATTAATAAGGAATTTGACAATTAAACCGTTAAATTATTCAAAAATTATGAATATTAAATATAAATAGCAGTTAAATTATTTTTTCTAGCCTCTGTGTTTCAGATCCCTATAATCATAGATACAAGATAATACAAATATCGATGCATAAGTGCTGTAGTTTTTCGATAAAAATGTTTTTTTAAACTTAAAAAGGACAACACAAGCAAATTTTTTAAAAACTAAATTTTTAAAGAAAAAAAAAATTATTTGACATTTTTAAAACATTTTGTTGGGTTTGCTAATTTTCGAGCCAAGCAAATATAACCCATAACCACTGAAAAAAATATGGTGAAAACTTACAGAATATGGTAAAATTCATAGCGTTCTATGGGAACATCAAAAAATTTGGTAACTTTAAAAGTTACCAAATTTTTACCAAGAAGCCAAGAAGCACTGTGTACCAAGAAGCGGTTTGGTAAAGAGTTTGATAAAATTAACAATAAAATATGGTTCTATAATATGGGATAAAATTTGGTAAATGTGGTTATATTTAGTAATTTTATCCTGATAATTTAGAGCTAGGAATAAAAATCGTTTATTCGGTTAAGTTCACTTTCCAATTTTGTATTTTTTACTAAACGTGTAGTAAAAAGAACAATAATTTAAAAATCCAAAATTTCTGGTAAACCTTTACCATATGAACGAAAAAATTACCAAATGAATGGTTTAGGTACTGCATGTTTTTTTTAAATCGGAAATGTTACCATACAATATGGTAATTTTACCAGAATTTTTTTTATCCTAGTACAATTCATTTACTAAAAAAAGTTAAGCGTGTTTTGTGATAAATGTTAAATAATTTTGCGCAAAATATTTAAAAAAAATATNAAAAAAAAAAAAAAAAAAAAAAAAAAAAAAAAAAAAAAAAAAAAAAAAAAATTCTAAAATATTAAAGAAAAAAGTAACTAAGTAATTCAAAAGGCAAATATTAAAGGGTATTAAAATGCAAATGTAACAGCAAACTTTTGTAAAATGATCGTAGTGCATAATATAATTATTTGGCATTATTCACAGAATACATTTGGAATAAATTCTCAGAAACTAAGAGAGGATCATGAAAAAAAAATCGTAAATCTGAATCAGTTTAAATAAAAGCTTACTAAGAAGGTTTTTGTTAAAAATTTCCTAGAAAAAATTTTTGTCTTTCTATCCCATTAAATAAAGGGAAATTCTTAAAAATAGAGCTTTTTTAAATCTTACTGTGATATTTTGAATTTCTAAAACTATTTCAAAATTGAGAAAAATATGGCATTTGGAATAAAATCCAGTGATTTACTTTTGTTTAAAATTATAAGATTGTTGTGGCTTCTTTAAAGTAAATGCCTATTAGGTAAACAGGTATAAATATAGATAGTGAATAGCTTTTTTTAAAACAAAAACTTTAGTGCTGGAAGTAATAATGCAGAAAATAAACTAACAAAAACAAATATAAATATTAAAAAAAACTATACTATAACAAGTACTTGTATACAAGTATAGTTATCAGTGCAAAGATATAGAATTCTGTATCTTGGCAGTTAATGAGGAATTTTGTTTACAGTCTGTATCGTTTTAAACTACTTTTATTTGTTCTTGTTACGTTGTTTTCTGCGTTTCTTCTTTCTTTCCAGGCTTTTACCTCTCGATAATGTTGCAAGAACAAAAATTTGAAAACTTACATTACTCAGTTCGCTTTTTTAAATAGAAGTAATTTTTATTTTTCATTTTGGTTAATAATTAGATTCAAATTCAAAATGAATAAAAGAAAGATTTATTCACGAAATAAGACAGGTATAACTGCTAATTCATACCTAAATTGAAGATGTAAGAGGATAAAGAATGCGACATTTTTGTGAAGTGTGAAAATTAGGTTCTTTGGTGACAATAAAGGTTTCAATTGCCGAAATCTAAAAATCACAGCGTTGGCACTTTAGGCGTTTTAATTTGCTGACAAAATGCGGGCTTTTTAAAATTACTCGTAGACTGTTAATTGCCAAATGCACTTAGATCACTTTTCCACTTTTAATCACTCAAATACTTTGTTTTCAACCTTTTACCACACATACTTATGACTTATTAAAATAAATGTATGCTGGATATTTAAATAAGACTAAAATAAGATAATTTTTCTGATAAATTTTTTCCCCTCAAAAATGTTACTGAGAACCTTATTTCATTAAGTTCCTCAGACCGGATCGAATGGAAACAATCGTCCAAGGTACGTTTTTCCGGTAAAATGTTTAGTGAAATACAATAGAACATTTTTAAAGTTCCAAAAAACTATCTTAAAACAATAATACAGCAGAAGAGCTTAGTGGAAGAAAGTGCCAAGTGACACTTTGAAAAAGCAAGAAAGAAACATTTTATATTAACCTATAAGACCTATTTTCAGTTTAAGAACATGTTTTAGAATATTTACAATGGAAAAATAATAGCGTTTTCGTTATGATGAAAAGAATGACGGTTTTCAATGAAAAAATGTGTTCTTTTCAACAGATCCCAGTTTTTACTATATTTTCCAAAGTTTACTAAAATGTTACTATGTACGAAAGCACTCATATACGAAACTTTATTCTTACTAAAAACGTAAAAATATTTTTATCATATTTTTATTTTTTCCCTTTCTTGTAAAAGTTCTGAGAAATCTAATTTTGTAAACTAAGCTTAAAAACGTAAAAATATTTTTATCCTATTTCTATTTTTTTCCTTTCTTGTAAAAGTTCTGAGAAATCTAATTTTGTAAACTAAACTAAAAAACGTAAAAATATTTTGATCATATTTCTTTTCCCCTTTCTTGTAAAAGTTCTGAGAAATCTAATTTTGTAAACTAAAGTAAAAAACGTAAAAATATTTTTATCACATTTTTTATTTTTTTCCTTTCTTGTAAAAGTTCTGAGAAATCTAATTTTGTAAGCTAAACTAAAAATATTTTTATCATATTTTTATGTTTTCCCTTTCTTGTAAAAGTTCTGAGAAATCTAATTTTGTAAACTAAACTAGAGTTTATCAAATTCAAAATAAATAAATAAATTAATTAAAGTAAAACATAACTTACAAAAACAGGTTTACTACCAAAAGTAATAAATTTAAAATAACTGAAAATAAGTTCCATAACAAATAAAAAAATAAAAGCTTAAAAGTGTAAACATCTGAAAATTAATACATCATATCATAATTAATTAACTAAATTAACTGAAAACAACTTGCTTACGCATCTTTAGACATTATTTTTATTTCCCAAATTAAACAAGATGCAAGAATATTAAGTGAGTTACTTGCAACAATAATTAAAATGTCATGATTCAATTCTGTAAAGGAAGGTTACAAGGGGCGAACAATTGCTTTAGGGAGAATAGAGGTCTTAAGTTCGATGAAATGTGGTAATTGGTGGAACAGTTGGTTCAATTATTGAAATTTCAATCTGGATAGCACACATTATTTATTCCATTGCCTGATTCCTTAACTAGTTTGAGTGAATGGATTACAACTATAAACAATTATTTTCTCCCGTTTGCGCCAAGTTTTAGCGATATTGCATTTGCGAATTCATGAGGTTAGAGTTGGAAGATTAATGAAACAGAGAACAGGATTTGGAAACTCAAAATCCATTGTATTATAAACATGCAATTTAGCATGTAATACGTTGAATAATTTCTGATTAAATAATTTGAGTGCATTTGTTAAAATAAAAATACATAAAAAGCATCGAAATAATGTCATATCAGAGAGAATCATTTCCTCGGTAGTTTGTGAAATATTTCAGGCATCTAGTTTCGCTTTCTACAATATTTTATAAATAACACAATCAGGAGCAAGCCTTCTAAATGATGAGTATTATAAAGTTAAAAGACGTTATGGAAACGTTAATTTAACTCATTGCATTTGGAACAGTTCTATCATTTCAGTATTATAATCGCAAAATTATTTCTCAACCGAGTTATTTTATAGGAAATATTTCTTTTAATAGTTTATTTCAATTACATGCTTCATATTTTTTAAATATCTTTCTCTTTCATTTTCTATTAAATTAAGATATCCATAACTGAAAATAAATAAACAAAGTAGTTGACAATAATGAGAAGTTACCATAGGCTCGTCGGTGTTCTTCTGAAATTGGACTAGCCTGACCCTTGTGACGTTTTCCATGTCTGAATCTTCTGTTCCGGGTGGGTCCGGTTCCGGCCCTCCGTTAAGGTAGAGTGGGATAGGAGGAGGAGATATCCTCAGGGCCTCCTCCCCATACACCTCGTGGGCCACCACGTCCTGCGCTTGTAACAGCGCCTGCAATAAAGACATCATTATATATCAGAGCATAATTTTATAACAACATTTACAATTAAAAACTAAAAATTGTAAAAAATGAAGTGTCAATTAAAAAACTAATGTACATTGTGTTTGAGAAAGACTATAAGTGATACGAAAGAACAGATGCATCCAAAATGAACGCTCATGAGAGTAGAATTAGTGAAAAGAAATATATAGTTCGTCTAAAGTAAGAATTCCCCTAGCCATTCATCTGAACCCGTGGCGGTGACTATGGTAACGATATACAACTATTTCAAATAGGGGTCTAGGACAAATATTGACTCGGGAATGCGAGAGAAAGGTAATCTTTTTCTCCGGTCTTAGCCCTGGAGTAAAGAGAAGCTACCCTCCCTGAAATGCGCTAGTCTTGTTTCCATAGCAGCAGACGACCTCCCTCAGACTATGTGGAGGGGGGAGTTCTTACCGTAGACTAACTATAGCATAATTTTGTCGTGGACAGCGTCTGTTTATGTTTCGGGTATCAATTCAAAGGTGTTTTAATCGCTTCAGCGCTGCACCCTCCATCTTAAATCCTGTTAAAAGGGATAAAACTGTGGGGAGAGGCGTTACCGGCAATGTCAACCTTCATCTATGAAAAGTTACCCCACCATAGAATCGAGTTAACATGTCTTATATACTAGTGAATTGGAATTGTATTTTTGTAGTGGTAAACACACTAGAGTAATCCCCCGCCAGAATTTTAGCGGTGATAAAATTCGATGAATGAATATCACTAGGTGATACATTGCTGTTTCGTGAGAAGCCGGGAGAGCTGTATTAAAGTCACCGTACTTTTTTCAGTGCTGATAGTGAGAGTTGTATTAAGTTCACGGTCGTGGTCGCACCTGTGTTGCCTTTAGCAGTCGAGTGTATAGGTTGCACGTTGTGTGTGATCGAGACTGAGAAGCAACAGCGTAAGGAGGACAATGTCACAGTCACGTAGGAAGTCAACTGTTCAATGTGGACCATTTTGTGAAGTAGGCGTGTTCAAATCGTGGTGGGTGTATCTGCCAATGTAGGCGTGCTCACATCACGTCCGGGTCACCAATGTGGGGAGAGGTGTCATTGACCATGGCAACCTTCATCTATCAAAAGGTACCTCGTCAAAAACTCGAGTTAACATGTCTTATAAACTAGTGAATTGGAATTGCATTTTTGTAGTGGTAGACACACTAGAAGACCATGTCCAGTCATAATGCTTTCTATCTAATTTATTGGTACATAGATCCCTACACCGTAAAAAATTCCGGATCAAACTACGATGACGACTGAATCCGTAAAATTCATTTTACCGATAAATAAATTTTTAATGTAAAATTTTGTACCGCAATTTTTTTACAGCAATATTTATTTAAGTACGGTGATTCGTTGATTTTACTGTAAATATGGCTGTAATATTACGGTATATCAGATTTTTTTTGTTCCGAAAAACGTTACGGTGACAATGGATTTTAAGGTAAAAAGTACTGACACTCTGAGTGTTGATACTTTCTACTGTAATTTGATTTTATTACAGTGTAGCCGAGGCACTTTTGCTCTAGTTTAGGTGACCGAGCATCCTCCGTTCGTAACTCAGCATCTGTTGATATTGAACAGAGTCAACTTCATGAATAGTGTTTGTATTAGTTTAAATATATATATATATATATATATATATAAAGTTTGTATGCATCAACAGCGTCCGATAAATAGGTAACAATTAAAATTTTAAGCTATGAATTTCTGGACAAGTAAGAAAATTCGAGCGAATGTTACTCTTCTATGCCCTCTTTCTCTTTGCAATAAGAAAGGGAAATTGGCTTTATTATGTGGAGGATTTATATTTCCTATGAGCTGCACAATCAGTCCTCCCGATGAGCAGACCTAGTGCGTTCTCCAGAAGTGGTATTTACTCTTTCAGGACCACCACAATGGGTGAGATACCGTTGGCCATGTTAATTTGGACGTCTAGTTTCTGCCACAGTAGATGGCAGCACCGAGACTCTATTTGGATGCTAAAGTGCACTAGGAATTTAATTTTGCCGGAAATGCCAAGAGNTCCTTAACTAGTTTGAGTGAATGGATTACAACTATAAACAATTATTTTCTCCCGTTTGCGCCAAGTTTTAGCGATATTGCATTTGCGAATTCATGAGGTTGGAGTTGGAAGATTAATGAAACAGAGAACAGGATTTGGAAACTCAAAATCCATTGTATTATAAACATGCAATTTAGCATGTAATAAGTTGAATAATTTTTGATTAAAATAATTTGAGTGTATTTGTTAAATCAAAATACATAAAAAGCATCGAAATAATGTCATATCAGAATCATTTCCTCGGTAGTTTGTGAAATATTTCAGAAATCTAGTTTTGCTTTCAACAATATTTTATAAATAACACAATCAGGAGCAAGCTTTCTAAATGATGAGTTTTATAAAGTTAAAAGACGTTATGGAAACGTTAATTTAATTCATTGCATTTGGAACAATTCTATCATTTCAGTATTATAATCTCAAAACTATTTCTCAACCGAGTTATTTTATAGGAAATATTTTTTTTAATAGTTTATTTCAATTGCATGCTTCATATTTTTTAAATATCTTATTTCTCAACCGAGTTATTTTATAGGAAATATTTCTTTCAATAGTTTATTTCAATTACATGCTTCATATTTTTTAAATATCTTTTTCTTTCATTTTCTATTACATTAAGATATCCATAACTGAAAATAAATAAGTAAAGTAGTTGAAAATAATGAGAAGTTACCATAGGCTCGTCGGTGTTCTTCTGAAATTGGACTAGCCTGACCCTTGTGACGTTTTCCATGTCTGAATCTTCTGTTCCGGGTGGGTCCGGTTCCGGCCCTCCGTTAAGGTAGAGTGGGATAGGAGGAGGAGATATCCTCAGGGCCTCCTCCCCATACACCTCGTGGGCCACCACGTCCTGCGCTTGTAACAGCGCCTGCAATAAAGCCATCATTATACATAATTTTATTACAGCATTTACAATTAAAAACTAAAAACTGTAAAAAATGAAATGTCAAATAAAAAAATAATGTACATTGTGTTTGAGAAAGACTATAAGTGATACGAAAGAACAGATACATCCAGAATGAGCGCACATGCGAGTAGAATTAGTGACAAGAAATACATAGTTTGTCTAAAGTAAGAACTCCCCTAGCCATTCATCTGGACTCGTGGAGGTGACTATGGTACCGAGGTATAACTATTTCAAGTAGGGGTGTGGGGTCACTGTTTAGAATAAATATTGGTTCGGGAATGCGTGAGAAAGCTAATCTTATTCTCCAGTCTCAGCCCTGGAGTAAAGAGAAGCTACCCTCCCTTAAATGTGTTATTCTTGTTTCCATAGCAGATGACGGCCTCAGACTTTGTAGCGGGGGGGGGAGTTCTTACTGTAGACAAACTATAGCATACTTTTGTCGTGGACAGCGTCTGCTTATGTATCGAGTAACAACTCAAAGGTGTTTTAATCGCTTCAGCATTGCACCCCCTATCTTAAATCCAGCTAGAAGGGACAAGACAGCGTCCAGTCATAACGCTTTCTATCTAATTTACTGGTACATAACATCTCTACACCGTAAAAATTCCGGATCATACTACCATAAAAAGTACAGGCCCCCAGGCGACTGAATCCGTAGAATTCATTTTACCGATAAATTCATTTTTACTGTAAAATTTTGTTCCGCAATTTTCACAGCAATATTTATTTAAGTACGGCGATTCAATAATTTTACTGTAAATATTACTATAATATTACGGTATATCGTACTTTTTTGTTCCGTAAAACTTTAAGGTAAGAATGGGTTTTAAGGTAAAAAGTACTGACATTCTGAGTGCTGATACTTTCTACCGTAATTTGATACGGATTTTTTCTTTTTTACAGTGTAGTCGAGGCACTTTTGCTCTAGTTTAAGAGACTGAGCATACTCTATTCATAACTCAGCATCTGTTGAAATTGAACAGAGTCAACTTTATGAATAGTGAATATCAGTTATCAGAATATTATATATCAAGTTTTTATGTATCAACAGCGTCCGATCAATAGGTAACAATTAAAATTTTAAGTTATGAATTTCTGGACAGGTAAGAAAATTCGAGAGAATGTTTCTCTTCTATGCCTTCTTTCTCTCTGCAATAAGAAAGGGAAATTGGCTTTATTATGAGGAGAAGAATACAGGTAGGAATTTGATTCCTACGTGTATGACCGTCTGAAGGTTTCTACTGTAAATGTACTGTACTGTTCAAGAATACTATAAAGTACAACAATAATATGTAATAATACTATATAAATTACTATATATAATATAATACTATACTGTACTGTTAAAGAATACTGTATATAAAGTACTGTAACACTATATAATAATACTATATAAAGTACTATATATAATATAATAGTACTACATATAGTACTACATATAATATAATACTATAAATAATATAGTACTATCTATAATATAATACTATATTAAGTACTATATTACTATATACTACAAACCGTTCGTTTTGGCACTTACTACATTTACAAGAATCAGTCTTAAATTATAAATTTACATTTTTCTTCCTAAAATGATGAAGAGTTTTGCAATTTAAATAGTAAATCTAATATTTTTAACGCTTATTGCAGAAGATTTCTTTTTGTAATAGTAAAACTCATGCTTTAATACTTTAATTTCTGGTTTAATAAATTAATTTAAATGGTTTTAACCACTGCGATACATAATTCATGTAGACATTTTAAAGTGCTGGGATTACTTAAAAAATCTGTTTTGTATCATGTCACTGGAAAATCTTCTCTCAAAATGTTTATAAATTGGCAGAAATGAAATAAGATGATTATTTTGATTGGCTCACAAATAAAGTCAATAAAAATTGCAAAAATGTCAAATTAATTAAAAACAAATATCTGAATTTAATTTAGTTACTATAAACTTTCAAAATTATAATATGTATGTATTTAAAAAGTATTGATGAA